AGCTGAATGTGAACTTCCCTGAGGAGTTAGCAATAGACATCATTTTGCACTCCTTAACATCGTGTTATGATCAATTCCGCATGACATATCACATGAACAAGGAAGAAGTCACCCTCAGCAAACTTCAAGGACTCTTGAAGACCGCCGAAAGTGGTCTAAAGGGTAAGTCGGTTGTTACTACTCCTACTCCTACTCCAACTGCGGCCAATGTCTTGGCAATCAGGCATGGCAAAGGGAAGAAGAGAAAGAACCCTTCTAAGGGTACCAAGGGTAAGACCCTTGAAGGCTCCTCTTCAAGCAAAACCAAGAAAGGTTTTGTCACTCCTTCTGCTAACCCTAATGAGGCTGAATGCTTCTATTGCCATGAAAAGTCGCACTGGAAGCGAAACTGCCCAAAGTACCCGCAAGATTTGAAGGATGGGAAAGTAAAACCCAACCATGCAGGTATATACACTATATTGTCTAATAACTCACCTCATTCTAAGTCTTGGGTCCTTGATACAGGTTGTGGTATTCACATATGTTGTGATTTGCAGGGACTAAAAAGAAGTGAGAATGTGGATCAGGGAAAGATAAACTTGATCATGAGAAATAGGAAAGCTTCACCTGTCACTAAGATAGGAGTTTATTCCTTAGTGCTAAATAGTGGGTTTACATTAGATTTGAATAAATGTTATTATTCGCCAGAAATGGCAAAAAATGTTATTTCCTTTCATGCATTGTATAAACAAGGTTTTACCTTTTATTTTGATAATAATAATGGTAGTATTGATGCTTTCTTTAATAATGTTCTTTATTTTAAAGCATTACCTTGTGATGGCGTGTATGAAACTGTATCTGTTGTAGATAATCTAGGAAATAATGTATTGTGTATTAACTCTTCCACTAGCTTAGATAAAGCATCCTTATGGCATTGTCGTCTTGGACATGTAAGCAAGAAACGCATAGGCCAACTCCAAAAGGATGGAGTCTTGGAGTCATTTGACCTAAAGTCAGATGATAGTTGTGAATCTTGTTTGCTTGGTAAAATGACAAAGTCACCTTTTACTGGCACTTGTGCTAGGGGTGAAGGTTTGTTGGACCTCATACACACGGATGTGTGTGGACCCTTCAGAACCGCCACAAGAGATGCTAATCGATTCTATGTGACTTTTACTAATGATTTTAGTAGATATGGATATGTCTACCTAATCAAGCATAAGTCAGAAACCTTTGAGAAATTCAAAGAGTTTAAGCAAGAAGTGGAGAATCAGTTGGGCAGGAACATTAAGATGCTTCGATCCGATCGTGGTGGTGAGTATCTTAGTACTGAGTTCCTTGACTATCTTAAGGAATGTGGGATTGTCTCACAATTGACACCTCCTAGGACACCACAGTTGAATGGTGTAGCTGAGAGGCGCAATCGGACCTTGTTGGACATGGTTCGTTCCATGATGAGTCGAGCTTCGCTACCAATCTCATTTTGGGGGTATGCCTTAGAGACTGCTGCCCATATCCTTAATCTAGTCCCTACAAAGAAGGTTGCCAAAACACCTCACGAGGTATGGACTGGAAAAGTTCCCAATCTTGACCACATCAAGATTTGGGGTTGCGAGGCTTTCATTAGACGCGAGACTCACGATAATCTCGAACCCCGAAGCGAAAGGTGTATTTTCATCGGCTACCCACAGAAATCCTTTGGTTACATATTCTACAAACCCAATGATAATGTGGTCTTTGTAGAAAGAAGAGGATTCTTTCGAGAGAGAGAATTCATGAGCCAAGGAGACAGTGGGAGGCAAATTGACCTTGAGGAAATTCAAGAGTCAAGTGGTGAAGGAACCTCAAACCCTAGCCCTCAACCTGAGGAGGAAACTCCTGTTGAGCCGACTGAAGAATCTATACCTCTGAGGCGTTCCACCAGAGTTAGGAATGCACCTGAGCATTATTATGGTTTTCATATTACTGCAGAAGGTGAGACACTTATCAGTGATAACACACTGGTAAATCTGGATGAGCCTAACAGCTACACGGAAGCCATGGCAGGCCCTGAGGCTGCTAAATGGAAAGAGGCTATGGATAGCGAGATACAGTCCATGTATGACAATCAAGTTTGGAACTTGGTTGACAATGTACCTGATCGTAAGATAGTTGGGTGCAAATGGATCTTCAAGAAGAAGACCGACATGGATGGTAATGTACACACTTATAAGGCACGACTGGTTGCAAAGTGTAAACTAAGAGGGCCGATTTCAAGAAGTTTGTGAATATTCTCTCAAGTTTCCAAGTTTGTGGTGATTTGTGACTTCCATTTGAGGCATCCACATTATTGGTGCTAGGCTCTCAAACTCCAAGCAATCAACTACTACTACAAGGTAAGTAATTCTACTAGTTTTATTTGATTCAAGTACCCCATGCCATGCTAGTTAGGATAAGAACCTTGGAAAAATAATTATTTGCATGTATCTTAGTCAAACATAGATCCAAGGTTTCTAGGGTTGCATGTACACCATAGGAGTGTTAGAATGCTGAAAACCCATCAAAATATCGTTCTACGATTCATCTTTCCCTTCATTATAACTAGAGCACCTTTGGTGACTTTGACCCAGTCACCTTCACTAGAGTACCTCATCCCATTCATATCCAAAGTGCCAAGAGAAATTAGACTCTTCCGAAGTTCCAGAATGTACCAGCAATCTAACTTTATGACCATATTGTCGTGCATCTTGATCTGCACCGTGCGACTTCCGTTGATACTGCTCATCCAATCATCACCTATATTGATTGCGCCATTCCACTCTTTGAAGGAGAAAAACATATCACGATTGTACGTCATGTGATAGGATGCTCCAGAATCCAATCCCCAAGCATCTATAGAACTTGATGTACTTACAGTCAATACCTCACCAACGTCCTCTTCATCAGAACTCTCCTGAACCACATCAACAGTGTTATTGCTGCTTGATTCACTCTTGAACTTTCCATTCTTTAGTTGTGGATGATTTCTCTTGAAGTGCCCCTTCTCCTTCCAGTTATAACATTTAGCATTTGATGAACCTTTAGACTTTTATTTTGAACGTGATCTCCCTCTGTTTCCTATCTTCCTCTTTCATGTCCTTCCTCTCCGTGCGAACAAACCAGAACTGGACACCTCTTCTCCAACTAAAACTTTCCTTTTTAGTTCCTTGGACATTAGAGAATCCTTCACATCATTCACAACGATCGTTGACCTACCATTGATCATGGTATCAATGAAATTCTCATATGAGTTAGGAAGAGAACATAAGAGAATGAGCGCATAATGTTCATCTTCAAGCCTCAAATCAAATCCTTGTAGATCCAAGATGATGTGATTGAAGTTATCCAGACGATCTTTCACTTGGGTACTTTCAGACATACCGCGAGTGTACAACCGCTGCTTCTGATTCAACCTATTCATCAAATAATTGCTCTAGTACTTTTCATAACCTTTCTCCTAGGGCCTAGAATCAATTGTTTGATCCACGACCTCCCTCAAAACTTCATCTGTGAAATTCTATAGAATGGCACTATGTGCCTTCGTTAGAATGTCCGCCTTCTTTTGAGCCTCCATGTCCTTTGGCAGTTTTGTCTCTCCTTCCAGTGTCGTTGTACATCCTTGTTGAACTAGAAGAGCCCTCATCTTCACATTCCACAAAGTGAAGTTATTTGAAACATTGAACTTCTCCAAATCAAACTTGTGAGTAGACTTCTTCAATTATAGGAACACAAACCGCAGCTCTGATACCACTTGTTAGGAAGTAAACCGGGTAACTACCAAACAAAAAACACAATATTTATGTTGCTCGGTGAAGGTGACCTACGTCCATAAGAAAGAGGGAGTATTGTTTATATCAGAGTTCTCAAACAGAGGTTACAAGTATAAATTCATATGGATCCGCCTATCACTCTAGAATTCAAGACACACAAATTACTTAGCATGCATCCCTATTTATACTTGAGGGATCAGACATATAACCCTAATGGGCCAAGTCCATTGGACCATAGGCCCATGAAAGGTGTCAACCAATCACAAACCACCATGCAAAACCTTCTAGAGCATTCATCCATGATATACAACACATGAGTATCAACAACGCACATGATGGAGCACCATGAGCCATAGTGGAGCATCATGATGCACATGTGGCGCATCATGAACACTAGTGGTACAACATCCATGATGGTGGCACAACATGATGTATTTCTTTAGCATCACCAACTTTTGAGCATCATACAGGACATTATAGCACATGTGGCTCATCAAAGCGCACCCTACACCAAGATGGCACATGTTGCATAAAGATGGCCCATCTCATGCAAGGATGACACATTTTCCTCCCATTTGGTGCACCTCCCTTTCATTTAGCGCAAATCCATTGCACTTGGCGTAACATGCTCCCATTTGGCGCAACACCCTTTCTTTTGGTGCAACATGCTCATGGATGGCGCAACATGCTTCCATTTGGCATAACATCCTTATGGATGGCACAAATTTTATCTATTTGGCACAACATGTTCCTGGATGGCGCGACTTCCACTTGGATGGAGCAACATGTTGTTCCATGCTTCTCCAAGTTGCTCCAAGTTTCTCCATTGAACTTAAATGCTCTAGAGAATGCTCTAAATGCTCAAGTCACATTTAAAAATATTGAACTTAAAATGGATTAAATTACACCCGAAGCAAGAAGTAGCCAAAGAAACGCCAAAAGAACCATACATGTATCCTAAAGATTAACACCAAATGATAGTTGATACAACATCACCAAGCCAACAATTAAATTCGAATAGCAGGGAACAATGAACTTCAAGTTGTAAAAGGATTGTCCGAAAAAGGCATCAACAATGATTCTTCCAAATGTAGGATACGCAAGATACACTAATTTTGATATGATAAGTTGCCAAGAAAATATCATCAAGTTAGTATAAAACCACCCCTTTAAACCACTATATATAAGAATACCAATGACAAAGAACAAACACCAACTAAAGATAATAACAAACTAGAGAAAACTAAGAAGGGTAGCAGCCAAATAACACTCATCAACTTTATGATATCCTACCAAGACTTTAGAAGGACAAAATAAGAAAATGAATAACAAAAAATAAAGATGATACCACCATAACATAGCCATGGAATCAGGGGCGGAGCTTCAACATATTATTTGGGGGGGCCGAAAATATAATATGTATAAAAATCGGAGAACAGGGGGGGCACCGTCAAAAATTTATATTTTTTGGTCTAATATGTATTAAATGAAAGTATAGGGGGCTATTTGTAACAAAAAAAAATCAGGGGGGGCCACAGCCCCCCCCCCCCCCCCCCCCGACCCTAATAAAGCTCCGCCCATGCATGGAATCCATGCTTGGAAATCTACTAAGAGGTATAAGTTCTTGTTCTACTTACAATGTACTTATGCCTTATTCTAGTGATTCAAATACATCAACATAAACCACTCAATTTTCTTACATTAGAACTGAGTCATCTAGTAGGCATGTGTATCATCATATTTTATTCTATTCCAATCCTGGTACTAAAATGGAAATGATAAGGTGTTGGAAAAAAGTTGTCTAAAAGCGGTTGTCACGTTATCTTTATGAATACCACTTGCCCACATATTTTTGGAAATCATCTGTATAATTCACAGTTATATGTTAGACTGGCCGTTACTATTGTCAGACAACATATTCATTTTCTTAGACCACCTGCTCCCGTATCAACTATGTAGATATGTCAAACAACGAGACAATCTCTTTTACCTTGAATTGATAAATTATTTAATTTTATTGTGTAATAGTATTATTTATGATTTTAAATATTGTTGTTTAGTAGTTTCAAGAGAATACCGTTGGTAATTTTCAAGAAGACTAATGGTTGTTAAATTATAAATATTTTTGATCTCTACCAAGGAGTTACGATATACATTATTTTAACGACTTCATTATTTTTTGATCCAATATATTCCCAATATCAATCATAAAATCACAAAATAGTAGTATTATAGTACGTATTAACATTGGATGGTTATGGGATATTGTTAATGGTGTTTGGGAGTATATGTCATCGAATGTTAATGATAAACACACTTTAAACTTTCATATGGGTAGAACGTATAACGAGTTGATTAATCTAATGTCCAGAAAATTATGTATACTTGATAATTAGATTGAGTTATCTTGTAAATATTCGATGATCAGACTATTGTCTATTGGCGATCAATGGCCATAACGATTAATTGGCGCAACTAACCTTAGGATTGGTACATCTCTAGTTATAACTATAAATGGTCATGATTAACTATGATTCAAAACATAATCAGATTGGTCCTCTACACTATATTGAACAATACATAAAAGTAAAACACAAACATTAATTTTGTTTATCATAAATTATTTCGGGGTGACATTGTTCGGAGTTCAAACACACATATTATTCAAAACTAAGCATCAAACAAACATAAACGATTTCCATCAACTTCCTTGATGACTTCCTTCCTTCCACAACTACTCTCCACACTCATCTTCCTGAGAATACATGTATATTGAAAATGTCAACATAATGTTAGTGAGTTCACAGGTTTTATTATTTACTTCAAATTTAATTTCTTTTCAAAAATTATATTTCTTTTAAGATATATTAACTATCCTAAGTTATTATAATTTTTAACGAATCATTCTTATTCAAATTATACAACTACTTGAAGACGTCCCTCTAGATAGTTTAAGCTATGATTTTCGTAACAATATTACCACGAGCCCCTATAATCGACGACGTGGACCGACAAATACGACACACGACTCTTCATCGAACGTCGAATAATATTACTTTTGTACCTAAAACTGTTCTCCTGCCGATTTTGTAGCTAGCAATCGTAGGTGGGGGTGTCATCTCCGTATAGATCTATACATATCTTTCTGGATCTTGCAAGATTAACGATTATAGATTCGGAGTTAGCCGAATTTAATTAGGCTTTAGGATGAATCATAACAGCTCACTAACACGTGTTTATTTAATCTAAAGTACGATTATAATTTTATATTTTCTTTCTCTTTATCTTTGTTTGATGAAATTCTTATCCCTAATTATTACTATATATACTTAACCTTATATAATAATAATAATAATAATAACTAGAAAGGTTTCCCGCGCGTTGCGCGGGGCTGTGCAAGTGAAAAAATATAATGGTAAGCATTTTCGTTGCACAAAATTTTTATTCTGGAACCTGGAATGAAAATGATAACACTCGGATTCACACACACACAAAAAGTCAAAACACACATACATTTAACATCTTTATTTTTCAACTTGGCTGGAATCAGAATGATCATGTCCTTGAATCTTCCAGTAACAATTGCAGCAGGCTTTCTATGCATAATCCTTGTTACATTATCGTGAAGCCCATATAAGTGAAGTTTGGATTGATTTTTGGGGTCAGTAACATGCAATTTTATGTATATATTCCAACTGCTTCCCAAAATAGTCAAAACCACACAAAAAACTTTATAAAAATACTAAGAAAATAACATTGAACTTTCATAAAATCTGATATATCCATATTTTCTAACAAATAGATATGAAAATAGTTAAACTGGAACCATTTATGAAAACTTTGTAAACATGGACCAATAATGTACACTTAGTAAAAAATGCACCATTCTTATAAAACTAACCATTTTATCTTACCTTGCATTTCTGTAATATATACCAACTATTATCCAAAAAATATTAGCATATATTGTAAAATAACGTTTTCTTTATTTTCAGTAAAAAAAATAAATTTATCAAATTTAATATTAAGAATTGAGAAAACTTGATTTGAAAAAAGCAAAAAGTAAAATAAGAACAAACAAACCTTCAAAGTGCCATTTCATCACTTTTAGTTCTAATGGAGAGAATAAGTAATTAAGAAAATTATTAAGCCCAAATTAGAAATTATCTATGTCTAGATCCCTTTCCCGCTGACCTAAAAGAAATCTGACTTTCTAAGCTTAGAATCCAAACTAACAATCGATTGCTTTTCATCATAATTGTATGTATATTTCAAAAGAGATCAATTTATGGGGTTATCCTTGCTTATCTAATTTCACATTCTTAGTTTCTTAGGTAGAAAAAATGTTATTTTATGACCCTACTAAATTAAAATATACATTAAAATAGGACTGAAATCTTGTTTGACTCATATAACTGGAACAGTAGCTTTGTCCTTACCATAGGGTAATATCAGAAACCCATCTTTTTACATGATCTGGTGTGATTATGGTGAGCCTAATAAGTTCAAGAACACATGTTAGTTACGATAAGAATTAGTCGGTGATATAAATAATCACATGCATCCATCGACAATCAACATACCTTGGTTCAAGCATTTCATCGACCATTTGGGGTGCATAGTGAAAGTCTCCTTCAAATCTCAATAGCAAGTTGGTTGCACCCCCAGTCAACCAAAGAATTCCGTACTCAATTACTATACTGAAATCAAAATCTATATGTAGGCAAATAGAGAATCAATAAAATCAAAGCCAAAAAAATGACGTCGCGGATGAAAGCTTCCATCTCAAGCTTCGAGAGGTCAGAGGCAACACAAATGAGTTTTAGGTGGAGGAAGGAGCATGAATATGATACTAAAAAGCAAACTAAATCGATTTGAAGAATGGGTAGAGGACGCCGGCGATTCTCAGATGTTTATGAGCATTCGTTCATCAAATGGAAATTATAAATTGAAATCTGTAGAAGATAGAGATGAATACATACCTCTGGTATACGAATCATAGAGAATAATCCAACCGAAGTAAAGAGGCCGAAAATCATCGTCCGACTGGTTGATGCTTCTGGATACAAATAGGTGAGGCGGTGATTATCTAGATTGGAGAAACAAATGGAAAGCTTTAGTAGGGATGGACTAAAATCGAAATCCCCAAAATAAAATCCTTACCTACTTAAGTCTGAAATCAGCAAACAAAACCCAAGAATAGAAACAAACAAATCGCATAAATCAAAACTATATAATGAAAACAGAGGAATTCAGAAACTAACACAGCTCGTTCTTTATGCTCCCCAGCTTTCCAGAATTGTCCATCTTCGATATCTCCTCTGTTTCGAACTGGGTCACAGAGGAAGCGGACAGAGCAGGTTGGTTGGAGGGCTTCGACGGTGAGGATTGGTGGGTGCAATGAAATCTGTGAACAACTAATTGGGAGGTCGAGAAGGCAGAAGTATATGAAGCACGAAAAACGAATAGTGATTGAAAGAGGAAAAGGGGGGTAGCGGCACCTGAGATGTTTCTTAAAACCAGAATCGCCCAAATCTCCTATCGAATGCGGATGCTGCTGCTGGTGGTCCGTCGGCGAAGAACAGGGCAGCGGAGAAGCCAAATACAGGGATGAAGGAGACTGGTAGTGATGATGGAGACGATACTGATTTTCCTTCCGCTGAGTACTCTCGTAGCACCGGTGGTGTAGGGTTCTTTGAAATTCTGCCCGATCAGATGTGGGTTATCTGTGGTTGATATCGATTGCGGAACTCGCACAGTGTACGGATGGTTGATTCCGGTGCAGTGGAGCCGAGAAGCGGTGGAGACGAAGACTGAGAACAAAAGGGTAATTGAAGGTACTGGAAAGAAGAACACGATCAAATGGAGGCACGGTCGCGGTCGTGCAGCCAGACGGCTGCATGAAGTAGAAGAACCATCGACCTGATGAAGATGATAAAAGGAAGACGGTGGAAATTGGAACAGAGATAGATAAAGGAAGACGGTGGAAGGATCGGGAAGGAATGCGCGTAACCCTGTCGTAACCGAAGGAACAGAAACAAAAATAGAGGGACAGGAAATGTAATTTAAGGGACCAAAATTGACCAAAATCTCTCAGGTTTACTGTTAAAATTTTTCAGGTTTACTGTTAAAATTTTTCACAACTTTAATATATATATAATAATAATTATTATTATTATTATCATCATTATTATTATTATTATTATAGGTTTTCTTTGATAGTTTATGGTACAGTTAAATACATTGTCTATCCTTACGTTTTATTCCATAATTATCACTATATATATATATATATATATATATATATATTCTCTTACAATATGTATACAGTAGTTACGATTATGTGGATAACAGGATACTAGGGCAGAGTAACAGCTAATTATAATGCATATCCTAAAATTTGGCCAACATTACTTCTAGGTAGTAAGTTATCATAGGAAATCGGACAGCATAACATCTAGGTATAATATTTTCCTAGTATAATATCATTGCTTAAGTCTATGGAAAGTTTCTACCGTCATATTATCCTGTGGTTTAATGCTTTTATAATAACTACTAATATATTTACAAAATATATTTTGATAAAGCAGTTTGATAAACATGTATTCTCCCCCCCCCCCCCTCGTAAAATCTTCTTTAAAACTGTAAAAATTTGGCCATGAACTCACTCTCCATGCGTGATACCGCTGGTGTAGGGTTGATTCGGGATCGGGATTTCGGGACACCTCGATATTGCAACAGCTCGATCAGAGGGAGAGAGAGAGAGAGAGAGAGTCAAATTTTAGGGTGTGAATAATGAGGCTGCAGGCCCTACTATTTATAGATGAGATTTTGACATGCACGCGGCGCAAATATCTGTGCGTGTCGTGCATGGTTATCGTGGTTCCATCAGGGAGTTGCCACGTGTCACTCTCTCCATGGGCCACACCACTCGCAATTCGATCGAATCTGGTGTCAGATGCACGTCGGGCAATGACATGCACCTCGCGCGCATATAAAGGATTTTGAAAAGTCCATATCTTATGCATATGAGCTCTGATCTTAACCCTCTTTATGTTTATGTGATGATCTCAACTAGTACTACAACTTTCCTTTAGGTTGTTTTGGCTAATTTTGACTTTCGTCTTTTTGCCAAACGGGGTAAAAATAAATAATTTTACAAAAATCATATCTCTCTAATACGGATCCCATTTTCGGCATTTTTTTCATAAAGTTCATATCTCGAGGAGTACTACCATTCCCCTTTTTATAACTTTAGTCAAAACTTAACACATATCTACGTACCGTTTCGACGTCGTAATAATTATTTACACGACTGATTTTATTTTTTACAAAAATCATAACTCCTCCAGTCGGATTCGGATTTTTACCATTTTTATATCCTTGAAATTACATCAATGAGTACTTTCTGGATATATTCACCGTTTTAAAAGAAGGTACAACTTTTCGGACACATATTTTTTAGTATAAACATCAAATTATTTCTAAATGTAACAACATATTTCATTATATTAATTCATAGAATCAAACATTACAATACTAAGCTATTAAAATTTTCTATCCCTACTATTTCCTAACGGTGGTTGGTGACAGATTCTTGGTTGTCACATTTTCCCCCCGATTTAGAAATTTTGTCCCGAAATTTCTCTTTTCGTTAGGATTCCTTTGAACAAGTGAGGGTTCTTGTTCTTCATTTGGTCCTCTTGTGCCCATGTATACTCACGTCCTCACTTAGAGTTCCATCGTACCTTGACTATGGGAATCTGACTAACTCTCTAACCACAATTTCGACTTGTTCCTCAACGAAGTTCAACTCAGGATCGATTTGGATTTCATTAAGAGGAATGACAAGTGTATCGTCAGAGAGACACTTCTTCAGATTGGACATATAGAATACATCATGCATGTTATTGAGCTCTTGGGGTAACCTAAGCCGATAGACCACTGGACCAATCATGTTGAGGATTTTGAATGGTCCTATGTACCTAGGGTTTAGTTTTCCCTGCTTTCCGAACCTTATAACTCCTTTCCAAATAGAGACCTTAAGGTTAACCCTATCTCCAACTTGGAATACAATGGGTTAGTGTTTTATATCCGCATAGCTCTTTTGACGATCACGTGCTGCCTTTATGCGTTTGCAAATTTACAAAATTTTCTCAGTCGTCTCAGGAATAATCTTTAGGCCTTTTTGTATGGTATTTCATGCGAACTTCTTGGCTAGTTGGGTATCTCCAACTTCTGCCCAACAAATAGGAGATCGACACTTCCGACCTTATAAGGCTTCGAATGGTGCAGCCTTGATGCTCGTGTGATAGCTATTATTATATGAGAACTCGATGAATGGAAGATGAGTGTCCCTTGCATTTACGAAATCAATCACACATGCTCTAAGCATGTCCTCAAGCATTTGGATTGTCCTTTCGCTTTGATCGTCAGTTTAGGGATGATAGGCCGTACTCATATCCAGACGAGTACTAAGAAATTTTTGCATACTTTGCTAGAATCGGGAGGTAAATCTGATATCTCTATCAGAGATAATAGATGGAGGTACCCAATACAATCTGACAATCTCTTTAAGGTACGTGCTGGTCAACTTCTTCATCTTATATGTCTCTTTTATCGGTAGGAAGTGGGCATACTTGGTTAATATATCGAAAACTACCCATATAGTATCGTAACCACTACCAGTCTTAGGCAACTTGGTCAAAAAATCCATTGCGATGTGCTCCCACTCCCACTCGGGTATTTCTGGTTGTTGCAACAATCCCGAGGGCCGTTGATGTTCTGGCTTGGCCTTGGAACATGTTAGGCATTTACTTACGTAGGTCGTAATTTCAGCCTTCATGTTTGGCAACCAATAAAGTGTTTTTAAATCTAGATACAACTTGTATGATCCAAGATGAATGGAGTATCTATTTGGGCCTCATCTAAGACTAGCCTCTTGACATCTCCAAACTTTTATAACCCATATTCTGTCCATGAAGTACCTTGCTCCATCATCCTTAGTCTCTAGCTGCTTTTGCATTCCCCTGAGGCCTTCTGGCTCGATGTTTTCTTCTGCTAGAGCCTCGAGTTGAGCATTTCTAATCTGTGAGATTAGACTAGACTGGATAGTCATTGAAGTTTCTTTGACTCTGCGAGGCTAAACTCATTCTGTATGACTCAAGGCGTCGGATACGACGTTAGCCTTGCCTAGATGATAACAGATCTCACATTTATAGTCATTAAGCAATTCTAACCATCTTCATTGTCTCATGTTGAGTTGATGTTGGTCGAAAATGTGTTGGAGACTCTTGTGGTCTATGTAGATTATAAACTTTATTCCGTAAATGTGATGACGTTAAAATTTTTATGCAAAAACAACAGCTCCCAACTCCAGGTCGTGGGTGGTGTAGTTATTCTCATGCATCTTGAGTTGATGTGAGGCTACGCTATGACTTTTTTCCCTTTACATTAATACATATCCCAATCCTTGATTCGAAGCATTACAATACCCAATAAAATCATCACTACCCTCTGGAAGCAATAGTATTGGTGCACTGCACAACGTTTCATTCAGCCTTTAGAAAGCTACTTATTGCTTATCTCCCCAAATATATTTTTATTTCCTTTTGGGTGAATTTTGTGAGGGGTTTGGCTATCTTAGAAAAGTTCTTTACGAATCTTTTATAATAGCTCGCTAAGCCTAAGAATTGACACACTTCGGTTGGTATCTTTGGTGTCTCCCAATTCTCCACAACTTCAATCTTGGAATGATCAATGTGAATTCATTTACTGCTTACTATATGCCATAGAAAGTGTACTTATCTAATCTAAAGTTCTCACTTGGAGAATTTTGCATAAAACTCTTGCTTCCTTAGCAGCTCTAGGATCACTCGAAGATGTTGTCCATGCTCTTCCCTGGTTCGTGAATAGATCAGAATATCATCAATGAATACTATCACGAATTTGTCCAAGTAGGGATTGCACACTCGATTCATGAGATCCATAAAAATAGTTGGGGCATTGGTCAGTCCAAAAGGCATGACCAAGAACTCGTAATAACCGTATTAGGTTCTCAATGCAGTCTTTGGAATATCTTCTTCCATTAATCAGAGTTGATGATCTCCAGATCCATATCAATCGCGGAGTAATAGTTGGATCCTTGTAGTTGATCTAAGAGATTGTCGATTCGGGGAAGTGGATATCGATTCCGAAGGCGAGAAGATTGGTTTGATAAATCCCTTGTCAAGAAGTTCTTGTAGCTGGCTGAAGAGCTCTTGCATCTCCGACGGTGCCAATCTATAAGCAGACTTTGCTACAGGGTCAGCTCATGGAAACAGATCAATCAGAAACTTGACTTGATGTGTTGGGGGTAATCCAGGTAGATCATTAGGGAATACATTAGGGTAATCGCGTACCTGAGGTACCTATTCGATCTTCCTCCTATCGTCTTTTTTGTTGACAATGTGGGCTAGAAAGGCATAATACGTTTTTTGCAAGTATTTTCTAGTCTTCATACTGGAAATAATCCCAAGGTTTTTACTAGGTTTGTCTCCGAAGATGATTAAGGATTCTCTAATCGATAAGGGTAGACACAATGATTTTTCAAAGCATAAGACTTCGACGTGGTTAGAGGATAACCAATCCTTGTCGATGATGACATCGAAGCTCCCAATGACCATAGGCATGAGTTTGACTAGGAAAGTATGATTATTTAATGTTAACGTATAATTTTTAAGTACTTCCTGGGTACTACAGACCTACCCGTTATCCATTTGTACCCTATACACCTCCCTATGTTTATTAGATGAGTGGTTTAATAATTTCCTAAACTCGGGAGTAACATAGATTTTATCGGCACCGGTATCGAAAAGTACATTTGCATAAAGGTTATTGATTAGGTACGTACCAGTAACTACC